GTAATTTATAAAGTTTTCTCAGATGTAAAAACAAGCTTGTTGAGTTAACACGACCGAAAAGAAACCTGTAATTTATAAAGTTTTCTCAGATGTAAAAACAAGCTTGTTGAGTTAACACGACCGAAAAGAAACCTGTAATTTATAAAGTTTTCTCAGAAGTAAAAACAAGCTTGTTGAGCTAACACGACCGAAAATAAACCTGTAATTTATAAAGTTTTCTCAGATGTAAAAAAAAATATTAATACTTATAACTATGTTTACATTTTTCTTTCATCGGCAGCTGAAGAAAATGCAGCGTAAACAGCAACAACAGCAACAGAAACAGGAACAAAACAACTCTCAGAAACAACAGGAAATCGATCAGTCGAATGGCGGAGTCATAAATGAAGGCAGTAATTCGGTGAAGGATGGTCAGTTTCTAAAACACGTGTTAAGCTCTAGTTTTGGTCAAAAACACTAGGTTTATTCTGTATGACTCTTTATTGTTAATGTTTGCTCTAAGGAAGAGCCACACGATCTGTATGAGAGCATTTTCGCTATTAGAACATTTTTTACACAACTCTTAAGACTTGCAGACTTGGTCTAACGGTGAGATTGAAAGTTTGATTTTTTGATCACTGTTGAAAATGACTGTGAATTAAATTGGATTAGTCTTAATTTTTCAGAAATTATCAGACAGAATGAAGCCTACTTTTCAAACGTGTGTGTTACACTTTATATTTCCATCTAGCTGTAATTATGTTGCTTAAAAATCGTTAGTGTGTGTTTTTCTTATAGCAAAGCCACATCGGGCTATCTGCTGTGTCCACCGAGGGAAATAGAACCCCTGACTTTATCCTTGTAAATCCGTAGACTTATCAATAGGTAGCATATAGTTAAATATTGCCGAAACGTTCTTCTTCCAGGTCATCTGATGAAGTAAAAAATGAACTTCATCAGATGACTTGGAAGAAGTCCGTTTCGGCCAATAAAATAAAATAAAAAATATTGACTTTCGCGATGAGTAGCAGTAAAAAATGAACTGCTACTCATCGCGAAAGTCATTATTTTTTATTTTAATTTTTTGGCCGAAACGGTCTTCTTCCAGGTCATCTGATGAAGTTCATTTTTTACTGCTACTCCTCGCGAAAGTCAGTATATTTTTTTATTGGCCAAAACGGACTTCTTCCAGGTCATCTGATGAAGTTCATTTTTTACTGCTACCCATCGCGAAAGTCATTATTTTTTATTTTGATTTATTGTTTATTATCATACTTTTATTATTTTTTTTCAAAATTAGCTTTAAATGTGTACTTAGTACTAACCTAAATATCCTAAGCTGGTCGAACCTCGTGATATATTATTGGGATTACGGACGAAAACATCGTTAATAGCGAAGATACTCAACTGATAAAACAATGAATTCTAATTTTTATAAGTAGAAACGTAAGAAGAGTATATCAAATTATCGATACTAATTGATTTTCAATTTTGCTCTCAGTACATATCTTACTCTGATCGGAACTTATTAATATTTTTTTCCGATCCACTTCGATTATTTTCGTCAAAGCTGAAAACGGATCTCTTTCCCACAAACTGATAAGTGGATGACGTTTGTGTTTACTCCCATGTATTTCCATCAGGTCTGTGGTTATTTGTGCAACGGTTCAAGCAACAGTTCTCCTAAGAGCAATAATAAGCTCCCCATTACGGCCGCGTATAGTCTCTTCATCGACTCTTTCATGTAAAAGTAACACGGACCTGATAGAGATTCAGTGAAGTGGTTCCAACACGTCGACCAATCACCAGGCAGGTTGTTCATTTCAACAGCCTTCTGTAATAATTACTGTCAACTGATAAAATTAGAGATTTTATGGATCTTGTAGACAGGTATATAATTCAACTGCCGTAAAAATAAATTATTCTGTTATATTCGAAACATTTCTATTATAACCCGTCTCGCCGAAGATGAATAAAAATAGAAACAGTTTTTAATAAATAATAAATGTAAGTTAGAGTTTATTATTCACATCGAAAATATTAAAAGCCTTGGTGAAAATAAAATAAATTACTATTATTATTATTATTACTTTTACGTTCCCTACTCCCCCCTCCAGTGGTACAGCGGTATGTCTGCGGACTTACAACGCTAGAATCCGGGTTTCGATACCCGTGGTGGGCAGAGCACAGATAGCCCATTGTGTAGCTTTGTGCTTAATTACAAACAAATTTACGTTCCCCTGAACTTTATACGAACAATTCGAGATGTATTTACATTAAACAGTGGTTGTTTGGAAGTCATGTATTGATCTCCCTTGGCAACAAACAACTTAACTGTAAAAATGTAGAGGGATGTTCTTCCATGTTTTCTCCCTTGGCAACAAACAACTTAACTGTAAAAATGTAAAGGATGTTCTTCCATGTTGTCTCCCTTGGCAACAAACAACTTAACTGTAAAAATGTAGAGGATGTTCTTCCATGTTGTCTCCCTTGGCAACAAACAACTTAACTGTAAAAATGTAAAGGGATGTTCTTCCATGCTGTCTCCCTTGGCAACAAACAACTTAGCTGTAAAAATGTAAAGGGATGTTCTTCCATGCTGTCTCCCTTGGCAACAAACAACTTAGCTGTAAAAATGTAAAGGGGGCGTTCTTCCATTCTGTATTGTGTAGTTGCCTGAAATCGTCAACATCTTCAAACAAACCAACGATTTGGGTGACAAGTTTGTTTCTTTTACACAGGTTCACCATACTCCCGTCTTGGGTCTTTAACAGACTCGCCACCAGATGTCTCTCAGTTTTCACTTCCGGCGGTCGGCTATCATACTCCTGGAATTGAAGGTATTTTGATATATAAAAGTTTAACACGTGACGTATTGATGACGTAACACATGACGTATTGATGACGTAACACATGACGTATTGATGATTATCAAATACCTTAAGATTATTCCGGAAATCTCTCTTTTTTTTTCATTTCGTGAAATATGTTCTAGAAAATAACTAGGAATTGAGATTAAGTGATAAACCTCGTGCGAGCGACAGGTACGATGAATATACGTTGTTTGCATAGAAAATTTTGAGTGGCTTAAACGTTTTTAATTACTTTTTTTTTTCATCTATTCCTAGGTCAGTACTTTCAAGGCCCACCTGATAGCTACATGAAATCTGAACTGAACCTAGAAAACGAGAGTAGTCTTAGCGGTTTAGAAGAAGTTCTTATTGGTCAAAGCCAACCATCATCGCTGAATGATTCGTCTCAAATTTTCTCGACGTCCATTAATCCCATTGACAAATTATATTCCATGCATTCGTCATATTTTAGCCTTGGAACGAACAGCTAATCTGTTGTGTAGAGTAACAAAAAAAATCGTAAACTCTTATTGTTGAGAGCACGTTTTGAAACAGAACGAAGATTTAAGGTCAATGTGGTGACTGTTGTGTTAATGAACTGTGAAGTGTTTCGTTTCTGTAAACTCCAGATTTTTGAACCAATCGGGACAGCTCAGGCCTGAGAAATGACTGTAGGATAAACCGTATATGTGTCAGAACTGTTTTTTAGAGAGAAAAAAAGCGATTTTGGTTTTCTTATCCACCCGAGATGATTTGCTGGCTGTATTTATAGTCGCTACACTTTAAAAAAGATCTTATATGTATCTAAATGATGAAAACATTTTATTATTTGTGCTGAAAATTTAGTCCATATTTATTTACCAAACGCAGTTCACTTCATCGTTCAGTTCTTACGTTTCGTTCTAGTCACAGGAAATATTTTGTACGAATTATATGACGAAACGTTTCCCCTCCCCCCTCCCTTTTGTGTGACTATATCTTGTTCACTTTGTTTCTAAAAACATTTTGAAGAAATGGAAAATTATTTGATGTTGTAGCATATTTTCTAGTAAAGACAAAAGCTCTTGCTTCACGCGTGCGCGTCTTAACGTCTGGGTTGTAACATTTTTTGTGAGGGGGGATGGGTTAAAATTATTTTACTATTTTAATACAATGTTAGAAATCTCGTCTACGCCCTATCAAGAGTTAATTTACTATTTTTGTTTTCTTTTTCCTGGTGTATATTGCCCAATAAGACGGGTGAAATGATTGAAACCTGTCTTAAAATAAGTCCATTGTTTCTCTGATTAAAATGTAAAAGACTGAGCCCAAATTTGAATAACACGTTTTGCCCTCTGTCGGATGTAGTATTTATTACAAAGTTAATTAATAAGTGAATTAAATAATGTAACAAAATGTAGGTAAAGTTGTTGTTTTTATATACCAACCACATAAGGAGTTTAAGACTTAATCGTTTGCTTATTACCTACGAGAAAACCACGTTCAACTGTAATTCACGCCATAAGAAAAAAAAATCCGAATTAAATTAAGACATTTTCGTGTTGTTTTTTTTATCAGTTTCTGACGAGCCTTTTCAAACGCTGTATTGAATACACTAAACGACTTCTTTTAGACGCTCTGCTCCCTAGTATGCTTCTTTGTGGTTATTAACGTTACTACAGAAAATTTGCCGATTCCATTAACTTTCTGTCTGCTTCAGAAAGTTCCGAATTAAAGTGAAACCGACATTAAAAACGCGTTATATTTGCATGATTTCTGGTTGAACCCACAAACCGAAAATATGAGGTCCACCAGATGTTCAGCAACATTTCAGTCATTCACTTACCTTCAGTGTAGATGCGGGTCAAACATTCTGGTCACCAAATACAAGTACAGGGTCACTGGTGAAATGTTTTGGCCGTCGAATATATGTACAGGGTCACGGGTCAAACATTCTGGTCACAAAATACACGTGCAGGGTCACTGGTGAAATGTTTTGGCCGTCTAATATATGTACAGGGTCACGGGTCAAACATTCTGGTCACTGGTGAAATGTTTTGGCCATCGAACATATGTACAGGATCTAGGGTCAAACATGCTGGTCACCAAATACACGTACAGGGTCACTGGTGAAATGTTTTGGCCATTGAACATATGTACAGGGTCACGGGTCAAACATTCTGGTCAGCGGATAAGGTAACAAATGTTCTGTTTAATTTCAAGGTTAAAATACCTCAAGAATGTATTGATTATTCACGAGAATTTCAAACTTCCAGAGAAATCACTACTTTCATACCTTCTATATCAACATTCCATATGATCTATAGTGTTCTATATCAACATTCCATATGATCTATAGTGTTCTATATCAACATTCCATATGATCTATAGTGTTTTATATCAACATTCCATGTAATCTATAGTGTTCTATATCAACATTCCATATGATCTATAGTGTTCTATATCAACATTCCATATAATCTATAGTGTTCTATATCAACATTCCATATAATCTTATAGATCATATGGAATGTTGATATAGAACACTATTTGTTCTATATCAACATTCCATATAATCTATAGTGTTCTATATCAACATTCCATATAATTTATAGTGTTCTATATCAACATTCCATATAATCTATATTGTTCTATATCAATATTCCATATAATCTATAGTGTTCTATATAAACATTCCATATAATCTATAGTGTTCTATATCAACATTCCATATGATCTATATTGTTCTATATCAACATTCCATATAATCTATAGTGTTCTATATCAACATTCCATATGATCTATATTGTTCTATATCAACATTCCATATAATCTATAGTGTTCTATATCAACATTCCATATAATCTATATTGTTCTATATCAACATTCCATATAATGTATAGTGTTCTATATCAATATTCCATATAATCTATAGTGTTCTATATCAACATTCCATATAATTTATAGTGTTCTATATCAACATTCCATATAATCTATAGTGTTCTATATCAACATTCCATATAATCTATAGTGTTCTATATCAACATTCCATATGATCTATAGTGTTCTATATCAACATTCCATATAATCTATAGTCTATAGATCATATGGAATGTTGATATAGAACACTATAGATTATATGGAATGTTGATATAGAACAGTATAGATTATATGGAATGTTGATATAGAACAATATAGATCATATGGAATGTTGATATAGAACACTATAGATTATATGGAATGTTGATATAGAACATATGGAATGTTGATATAGAACACTATAGATTATATGGAATGTTGATATAGAACATTATAGATCATATGGAATGTTGATATAGAACACTATAGATTATATGGAATATTGATATAGAACACTATAGATTATATGGAATGTTGATATAGAACAAATCTATAGTGTTCTATATCAACATTCCATATGATCTATAGTGTTCTATATCAACATTCCATATGATCTATAGTGTTCTATATCAACATTCCATATGATCTATAGTGTTCTATATCAATATTCCATATAATCTATAGTGTTCTATATCAACATTCCATATGATCTATAGTGTTCTATATCAACATTCCATATGATCTATAGTGTTCTATATCAACATTCCATATGATCTATAGTGTTCTATATCAACATTCCATATAATCTATAGTGTTCTATATCAACATTCCATATGATCTATAGTGTTCTATATAAACATTCCATATAATCTATATTGTTCTATATCAACATTCCATATGATCTATATTGTTCTATATCAACATTCCATATAATCTATATTGTTCTATATCAACATTCCATATAATCTATAGTGAAAAGTTAGTTGGACTAACTGTTGAAGTAACACGACGTGAAAAGTTAGTTGGACTAACTATTGAAGTAACACGACGTGAAAAATTAGTTGGACTAACTATTGAAGTAACACGACGTGAAAATTGACTGGGATTAACTACCTTTCAGTTCGCTAACTTTTTGAAACTAAAAACTGGTTAAGAAGGAAATATTTCCTCTTGGACTTGAGAATTTATAGATGATGGAAAAATTATATTATTGTGGCTTCATCAGGGATAGTATCACAAGAATCCCAACTTTATCACCAAAACATCAATACTATTGTGCAGATGTGTGAACACGTATTGCACGTACACGTATATGTAGTAGCTTGAAATTGTAGACATCTATGTTTACTTAACCTTCGAACTCCCCTTACAGGGTTGACAATCAAATTTAACGTTTTAGTTGACCATTAAATTATTTGAACGAAGGACAAACATTCGAACGAATTAAGGGGGGGCCCAAATGTTTGGAGGTCAAGAAATTTGGAGTCTCTCAGGTTTGGTTAAATAGTTTTACAAGAAAACTTTCTGAGTTCATATTTCAGAAATTATCAGATTTGAGCCCCCATACGGGCGTCCAAGAAGTTTTGGGGGCTCTAGGGACTAAATTCATAAATGACACGAAAAATTTGAATGAACGCGTAAGGGTTTGTTTAAAATAAGGAAGTCTGGGGCTCTTACCCTAGACTGTATGGATTTTCCTGAATATTGACACAAACACGTAAATTAGCCTTTAATACAATCTATGCAAGCGTTGTTTTTGGTGTTTGACACGCGTGTCAATTTGCTCCAAGTGAAATGCGTCAAAGTGCCCCAAACCGCCATTTTGCTAGAAATGACTTGTGTGTACCGCCCCAGTAGTAGTTGCGTATGGTGTTTCTCACACCTCCAAATTCTTTTGGTTAAACTCCCCGGTGCACAGCGGTATGTCTGCGGACTTATACCGCTAGAAACCTGGTTTCGATACCCGTGGGGAGGGGGTGGGTACAGAGCACAGATAGCCCTTTGTGTAGCTTTGTGCTTAATAGCAAACAACAACAACAACCTACGGTTAAACTTAAATCATTTGCCAGCATTTACAATTGTTACAATTAAACTAATGTTATACTTGTATATATTGTATAGTCTAAACAGTAACAATTAAACTAATGTTATCCTTGTATATATTGTATAGTCTAAACAGTAACAATTAAACTAATGTTATCCTTGTATATATTGTATAGTCTAAACAGTAACAATTAAACTAATGTTATCTTGTATATATTGTACAGTCTAGACAGTAACAATTAAACTAATGTTATCACTTGTATATATTGTACAGTCTAGACAGTAACAAGTCAACTAATGTTATACTTGTTTATATTGTACAGTCTAGACAGTAACAATTAAACTAATGTTATACTTGTATATAAGTTTAATTGTTACTGTTTAGACTATACAAAATGTTATCCTTGTATATATTGTACAGTCTAGACAGTAACAATTAAACTAATGTTATCCTTGTATATATTGTACAGTCTAGACAGTAACAATTAAACTAATGTTATACTTGTATACAGTAACAATTAAACTAATGTTATCCTTGTATATATTGTACAGTCTAGACAGTAACAATTAAACTAATGTTATACTTGTATATATTGTACAGTCTAAACAGTAACATCTTCATTACATCATTCTTTGACTTAATTGTTTTTTTTTCTTCATTTCTTTTTCTAACAAAAGCAATAGAAAAGTCAGGATTAAAACAACGATTAAATTAAGCTTTGTTCAGTAAGTCCAAAGATATATTCAAGTTCAGAATCCAACCTTTTTTTGTTTATCAAAGGTAAATGACACGGTTTTGTTTTATGGTTTTTGTATTATTTTGCAAGCTTTTACTCCAACGTTTATATATTCCGACTGTCAGTATACCAATGTTTGACAAGACTACAGTGCTCGAGTACAAGTTCCGCAACTTTAAACAGCGACAACTATCTACCCAGACAAGGTAGACAGCGCCAACAGTAATATCTCACCGACGGAGTTGCGGTCCTTCTCGAGCGAAAAAGCAATATCCATTGAAGCGATATGGCTTATTGCCTTGCACGTGTTGCCCGCGAGCAGTCAGCTTGGTGGCTCGCGATTGGTCGAAATGCAGATGCTGAGCGCGAGATGAAGGCAACAGCTTTGAGCACGAGGAAATAGATGAAGTGGAAGCGGTGGTGGCGGGAAGGGCACAAATAAAACGTGTTTTGAATCTTTTCCCGTCTCTCAGCATAGACTCGGTCGCTTTCGGTTGCTGAGTGCTATACTTTATGAAATATTCAACTTTAAATTCACTTCACTCCCGTTTCATGTGCCTTCATGCTAGAGACAGGTCAATTTTCCCAGATCTTGAAACGTCAGTCTAAAAACATCTGAACTACAGTAGCGAACTGAAATTAATCAACAACTCTTGTTATTTTACCTTTGTGATTTTCAGCTGACTTTATTACCATATCTACGAGGTAACGAATTACA